CCAGTTTCGACGAACTCGATGATGATCTGCCCTCCATCGACACAGTCCCTGAGGAAGTGTAACTTGACGTCAATGTGCCTACTACGGTCATGAAAAATCGGATTCTTCGCGGCGGCGATGGCGGGCTGGTTGTCCACCATCAGTGCTGGTGGGTGAGCTTTCACACGGTCAGCTCGCCCAGCAACTGGCGCAGCCACACAGCTTGACACGCCGCTGTGGCCGCCACCACATACTCTGCCTCGCACGTGGACAGCGCCACCATCTTTTGTTTCAGCGACAACCATGAGATTGGAGGCTACCCGAGAAAGACGAGCACGCCAGAGGTGCTCCGCCATCCGTCAATGTCCCCCGCCATGTTTGCATCGCTGAACACAGTGAGCTGCATCCTACTTCCACCGGTCTTGGGGAAGACGATCACCAGATCCACTGTCCCCTTAACGTAGCGCAATAGCCGCTTCACCGCAGCCCAGTGATCCTCTCGGGGATCCTCCATGAAACGGCTGACGTAGCCCACGGCGAACGTAATGTCCGACCTCGTGTGGACTAGGTAGCGTAGACCGTCGACGATGCTCCGGTAGAGTGTCACATCTACCTTCGCCGCGGTACCGGTCTTCGTTAGCTTCAGCCGCTCCTCCATCGGAGTCACGCACGGCTTACACTCAGCCATGCCGCTCCGCTCCAACAGCTTCGAGGTGTACGCGCTCTGACTGAGTATGAGCGCCTCCTTCCCCTGTCTCACTTCGATACCGAGGTAGTAGCAGAACGCGCCGAGGTTGCTCATTCGAAAACGAGCCACCATCTCGCGCTTGAAGCTATCGATGTCCTCCGCACGCACGTCGGTGATGGTCAAGTCATCCACATGCACACCGACGATGAGCTGCTCCTTTCCCGCCACCGTGTGTAGAGCATGTGCTCGGTTGCGCACCGCGTGAACCCAAGCTCGCCCAGCGTGACATCAAGCTTGGCGTTCCATGCTCACGGGGCCTGCCACAGCCCGTAGAGCGCATTGCGCAGTCGGAGCACCCTGTGCTCCGCTCCTTTTACGGCGAAACCCAGAGGTTGCTTGACGAAGACCGTCTCTGCAAGTTCACCGTTGACGAACGCAGACTTGACGTTGAGGTGGTGGATGCGCCAATCCTTCGTTGCTACTATGGCCAACAGCAAGCGAGCGGACTCTATTCGCGCCACCGGAGCGAAAACTTCCTCGAAGTCGATGTCCTCATGCTAGACAAAGCCTCGGGCGACGAGGCACGCCTTGTGCTTGACAATGGCGCCGCGCTCGTCCCGCTTGACCTTGTACACCCACTTCAGGCCGATCGGACGGCATCCTAGAGGTGGATCGACGAGCTCCCAAGTCTTATTTTCCTCGATCGTCTTCATCTCCTCCAGCATCGCCCGTCGCCAATTTGCATCGCGCTCGGCTAGCGCGAACGTGGGTGGTTCCTCTGCACTGATGAGAAGTAGCTCTGGGTCATTGAGCAGCCGACCCGCCAGGCCTGAGGACCCTGTGCCGCCGACGATGTCGTCCAGCCTGCGGAACCGCACCTCCTCACCGTCGTGGAAGGCATCCACGAACTTGGTGATGTCGCTTGGAGGTGAGACAAACTCGATCGACGTCGATGGAGTCCCTTGTTCCGCCGGAGTGGTTAGCACAGCACCTGGAGTGCTCGGCACCCCGACTGCAGTGCTCGGCACTACTCCTAGACCACTCGTCACCACTCCTAGAGTGGTCGACACCACTGCAAGACCTCGGCACTTGTCCTAGGGTGGTCGGCACCACTACAGGACCACTCGGCACCACTCCTGGAGTGGTCGGCACCACTATAGGACCGCTCGGCATCACTCCAGGAGTGCTCGGCACCCCTCTCGAAATGCTCGACACCGCCCCAGGAGTGCTCGGCTCTGTTACTGGAGTGGTCGGCACCTCCTCTCCAGCGTCTCCACCACCATGGATGACTAAGCACTCGACGACAAAAGTGCTGGTGAAGCCGCCAGCTTTCCCATGTCCGGACTGTCCCGGTCCTAAGCCACCTTCTCGTCGAACATGACGTCGCGCGAGACAACCACCTTGCCTTCGCGTGGGTCATAGAGCCGGTATGCCTTGGTACCTTCCTCGTAGCCTAGGAGCACCATCGGTGTGCTCCTGTCCTTCAGCTTGGTGAGGACCGACTTCGTCTTCCTGACATGGCCGATGCAGCCGAATGTCCGGAGGAAGGACACGCTTGGCTTGCGCCCATACCAAGCTTAGAACGGCGTCACGCCCTTCAGGGCATTTGTGGGCGCATGGTTGAGGACTAACACCGCCGTGGTCACCGTCTCACCCTAGAACCTTGCCGGCATGCTCTTGGCCTTTATTATGGATCGAGCCATGTCGACCGCCGTTTGGTTCTGCCGCTTCACTACGCCATTCTGTTGTGGCGAGTACGGCGCGGTGTGGTGTCGTACTACACCCTGATCCGCACAGTACGCAACGAACTCCACCGAAGTGAATTCACCACCGCGATCTATCCTCAGCACGCGCAGCTTCTTTCCGGACTCTGCCTCCACCCGCGCCTGGAACCTCTTGTTCACCTCCACCGCCTCGTCCTTGCTCGTCAAGAGTTGCAGCCACATATAGCGACTGCAATCATCCACGAGCAGGAGAAAGTACGGTCGACCACTGTTTGTGGCTGGCGTGATTGGTCCACAGAGATCGCCGTGGACGAGCTCGAGAGCGTCCGCCGTGCGATACTTGGCCGCCTTTAGGAACGGTAGCCTCCTCTGCTTCTTGGCCAGGTAGCTATCACACAGTTCGCCTGCGTGCTTGATGTGGGGTAGCCCTCGGACCATCTTCTCTAGCCGACCGAGCGCGTTGAAGCTAAGATGGCCGAACCGGGCATGCCACAGCCATGGCTCCTTGGTGTGCCATGTTGGCAGGCACACCGGCTGCTCCACCTTCAAGTCGAGCCGGTATAATCGATTACATGAGTATTTTACCTTCGCAAGAAGATGCCGCTCCTGATCCCGAATCTTCAGGACCTCGCTCTCGATCAGTACCTCGCATCCGCGCTCGTCCAGCTGCCCGATGCTGACGATGCTTGAACGCAGCTACGGGATGTAATATACATCCGTCAGCGTGTGGTGCTCGCCGTTCTGGCACCTAAAGATGATGGTGCCGCGTCCTTGATCTTCACCCTTAAGCTGTCACCAAACTTCACCGTGCCGGTCACGTTGCCGTCGAGCTCAGAGATGGCTTCCTTGGAGCCCGTCATGTGGTTGCTGGCGTCGGAGTCTAGGTACCACCGCTGCTCCTGCTCGCCGCCCATATGTCTGAGGTGAACTTGGGCGCGTGGTTCGTCGAGGTTGACAGCCTTCAAAGCCTTGCCGTGCCCTTCCACCGCATCACCTCTCCCTTCTCCTTGGTCTCAACGTCGTGCAGTGCACATAACGTCGCCATCAGGAGAGTGGCCTTATCATCTTCATTAGCATATGCTAAATGAGCCTCAGCCTTCTTCTTCTGCTTGCGATTTGGGCACTTCTTTGCCCAATGGCCCATCTTCGCGCAACGTCGGCAGGCGTTGGGGTCGACCTTCTTCTTTTTCTTCTCCAAAGAAGCCTTGCCGTGGCGCTTGCTATCGCCACCGCGGCTGGAGGAGGCTTCCCCGGACTTCTTTTGGGTAGCCCACTCCTCCTCTGTCAGCAGCAGCTTGCCGCTGTCCGTCGTTGCTGTGGCTTGCTCCATGCGCTCGTCCACTGTCCGCAGACGGCCTGTCATATCCTTAATGGTGAGGGTGGACAAGTCTAGCATCGTCTCTATAGAGAGAGCAATCTAGATGTACTTCACCGGCACGAAGTGGAGGTACTTGGAGACCGCCTCTTCTTCGTCGATGGTGACACCATGGCTGCTCAGCTTGCTGACGAGCGACTCCAGGCGGAGGGAGAAGTCCTCCACCGACTCACCATTCTTGAACTTGAGGTTGGCGTACACCTACTTCAGCAGCTGGGCCGTCGTCTTCTTTGCGTGGTCGGAGCCGACGTGCATCGCTGCAATGGCCTCCTATGTCTCCTTAACAGGGTTCTTCGCCCCCAACGGCTCCATGTATTTCGCTGGCATAGCAGCGAGGATAGCCTCCAACGCTGACATGTCGTCTTCTTCGTTGTCGGTGCCCTTGTCAATAGCATTCCAGAGCCATCGGGCTCTGAACTTGACCTTCATGGTCACCGCCCACTCGCCATAGTTTGTGCGAGTCAGCGTCGGCCAACTGGTGCCACTGACCTTCCGCACCGTGCGCACGACAATCTCCTGTCGTTGCTGGGCAGCCACAACAGCGCCACTGCTGTCGCCCATCTCCAAACCGTCCGTCATCGCCAGCGGTTAGTCCGGCGACGACGCTTGTATGGCTCCGATACCACTTGTTGGCCCCTGGATCTCCCGCACGGGTGAGCCGACCGCTCACCGTCGTTTCCGACCACACACTACGGCCGGAGGAAGAAGAGGGTGGAAGAACAGAGCGCGCGCACACATAGCACAAGCACCAGCGTTGGCCGGAGCTCTGCAGAGGAGATGATAAAACTGAACTCTCTCTTTTTACTGAGTTGCAGTGGAAAACTATATATATAACTCTACCAATCTAATCTCAGTACACAGACATGATAGTTTATCATGCTGCTACAATGACTAGATGTGACAACAGGACAGACTTTGGCGTCCGTCCCTGCTGGCTACAATGCGGCAGGGGAGCCTTTCGACGCCTGCCCCTGCCGCGGCTACATTGTAGCAGCAGGGGAGCTTTTTCGACGTCTGCCCCGGCCGTGCGTATAGAGGGAGAGCAGCATATTACTTTATAGTTTTCCATGAGCTGGAGATCACAGATGCTAAGAGCATTGCTCAGTTGGCTGATTTCTTGAAGACACGTTTTGGGAAGCTAGACATCCTGGTACTAGTTAGCCTCTCAAAACTTATGGATGTTCTCTTGACGATATATGGCCGTTAGTTGATAGGATTTGTGAACTTTTCGTAGGTAAATAATGCCGCCGTTGGTGGTGTGGAGTACGTCCAAGATCCAATCGATAGCTCAACATCGAGCGACCAAAAGGTGAGCTTCACACATCTTCAGCTAATGGGAGTTAGTAGGAGGCGATAACGTCGTAAGATACTAATTGAACCAATACTCTCTGGATCTTGCATCTCTATTCTCTTGTACAACGAAAAACGTTCTGACTCGTTTCGGAACTCCTCTCTCTGCTCCCGCCCCTAGATGTGTGTTCTGAACTTAAATTTAAGGCTAAACTGAACAGGTTTTTATTTGTTGTTGCACGCTCGCAAACAGTTCAGTGGCATGGATGAGCTCCAGAGGCTCGAATGGATGTTTCAAAATGTCCGCGAGACCTGCGATTCTGCAAAGGAAGGCGTGCAGACGAACTACTACGGCACGAAGCGTGTAATCCAAGCCTTACTGCCCCTGCTGAAAGCTTCCTCCGATGGGAGAATCGTTAACGTCACCTTCGAGTTCGGGCTGCTACGGGTAATAATCAATTATTAAGCCTGCTCTGTATGCCATATATACACTACAAGTCTACAACAGACAGTAAATTAAACCTGAACACGCTTCTTTCGTTATGATATACTGTAGCTATTCAACAACGAGGAGCTGAACGACGTGGAGAAACTCACCGAGGAGAGGCTGGACGAGGTGCTGGCCGTGTTCCTGAGGGACTTCGAGGCCGGCGCGGTGGAGGCGCGCGGGTGGCCAATGTATTGCTCTGCGTACAAGGTGGCCAAGGCGGCCATGAACGCCTACTCGAGAATCCTGGCGAGGAGGCACCCCGAGCTGCGCGTCAACTGCGCTCATCCTGGCTACGTCAAGACCGACATAACCATGAACTCCGGGGCCCTGACGCCCGAGGAAGGCGCGAGCAACGTGGTGAAGGTGGCGCTGCTGCCGGAAGGCGGGCCGACCGGCACATACTTCGCGTTGGGACAGGAGGCGCCGTTCGTGTGATATTTGCCGGGCTGCACACGGTCACACGGCCGGCACTCGCCAGTAGCCTCCCAGTCCCATATGATTGAGTTATGTCTCGGCTTTACTACGTTCGTTCCAAAATAAATGTCATTATCACCTCCCGAGAAGTCAAACACTTTTAACTTTAATAAATAAATATATATATAATTTTAATATTTACAATACATAATTAGTATAATTAGATAGATCGTTGAATATACTTTCATAATAAATTAATTTAAAGATATAAATTTTGCATGTATTTTCTACAAACCTAGTCAAAGTTGAAAAAGTTTGACCAGTACGCATCCTATAATAACTTCTATTTTGAGATAAGAGGGAGTATCTTATTGCTGTCTCTTATCTAGAAGTAATATAACTACAAAGGCTAGTTTTCTTATTCTAGCATACTAGCATTTGGGGTCTTTTTACTTGAAAAATAGTTTTTGTAAAGAGTCATGTTAATTTATTATATATTGTGTAGTGCAAAGACATAAAAAAATTATTCCCCTCAACCAAAGTTTTTTTTTTATCATTGGCGTAGTGCAAAGATATAACTAATTCCCCTCAACCAAAGACACCTAGCAAAACTTTTTTCACCACTGGCTCGCCGTATGATCCGGTGATAATCACCACGATTTTCACCACTAGATCGATCATCCGCCGACTCAGCGGTCAAAACAGTTTTCAGTGCTAGTTTATCTTTCCAACCCGTCGGCCTTTGAACTAGCGTGAAAACCTATCGCCATCGGTTCTAAACAAACTGGCGGTGAAAATTGTGCTGCAATAATGAGAACTGTAGTAGTGGATATAGCCGCCTCCTTTGTGAGTGGCGAGCGACTGTGATCCGATTTCAATTTAGTGTTATGGCTTTCTGTAGTTTTGAACATTAAGAGTGGCAAATTTACATAGTTTTGAATATTAACGAGTTGCAAATTTAGAGATGGTTGAAATAGTCTAGTTTTTTTAGGGGTTTCTATTTTAGAGAATGGACAAATCATGATTTTTGTTGTCTTTAGCTGATCTCTTGAGTTGCAACTGGGGCTGGCTAATCAATGTTAACTTGTGATGCATCACATCGACAGCTACAAGGGGAGTGTTACGAAGCAATCCGTTCATCAAGGAGAAGAACCAATAGGATTACAGAGATCCCATCCAACCAGATTAGTGACATGGATCAACCTTAGCCTTAGATCTAAATCCAACCATCAGTGTAATCTCTCCCTGTAATCACTGTAGTTTCGTACGGACTACTCCATCTTTCGGAACCGACATCACCGGGATCGCTACCCGTTGGGAAGCCGCGTATCCGCGTCCCCGAACGGGCGTCTGACAACTCCCGTGGCGTCGCTTCAACCTGTATAAATTGTGAGATCGATCAATGGAAAAGTATGGTTCGATTCATTCTTTCTCTCGATCACTACTGCTTTTAAACACGTTATCAGCACGCTCTGAGAATCGAGAGAATTTTTTGTCGAGAAAGGTGAGATGGATCCCGAAACCTCACCGTCGATCATGACCGCCATTCTCTTCGGAGTTCCCCTCACCCGCCGCGCTCCTCTGCTCCTCGACGCCGCACGCCTGGCGGAGAGCCGTGCCCAGCACCGTCGCGTCTTCGGCCGTCGCCGTCGCCGCGGCCGCCGCAGCCGCCGTCGCACTCGCCGTAGCCGCGGCAACCGCGCCCAACGCCTCATCGCCAACAACGGCGCCCAGGCTTCAGGAGCGGCGCCGGCACCACCAGCGCTGGTCGCGACTCCACCGCCACCACCGCCGGCCGCGCCTGCAACTCCTCTTCGTCTGCCGTCGCCGACCCCAGGGTCATTCACCCTGGTGGCCGGACCAAGGGACGGCCCAGCGCCGTACGCGTTCCAGCAGGCCGGCCAGTCCAGCGCCGTCACGGCTCCAGCAACCGTCCCGGCGGCAACCCCGGCGGGCCTGGCTCCAGCAACTCCTCCGTCGGTGTGGGCGCGTCGCGTCCACCGCCGCCTGACCACCGAACCCGAGGAGTACAGCCCCGGCCTCCGCCCCGGCTCCTGGACTGCGACCTTCCAGAGGCTCTCCAATGGAGTCCTCCTCAACCGCTCCAATGGCGAGGCTGGCCCCTCCGGCGAGGGGGGCTACTCGCCCAACTAAGCGACGAAGCAGGACTGGAAGGAGGCGGAGGCAGCAATGGCAGACGACGGAACGACCGAGCAGCGAGTCGGAGTGGCTGGATGAGTTCTCAACCTTATCCCCGCTAATAATTTATTTGCGTCGTCCTGCCCTCACGTGTCGTACAGAAAATGTCGACATTGTGTGCTCATCCTAATAAAGCTGCCTCTTGCTTGTGGCCGCCTCCGCATGTGACTTGTTTAGTAGTATATTCTAATTTGTGATCTGTGACTATGTTTAGTACTAGTGACTACAGTTAGTACTATCAGCAGCCATTCACTTCAAATCCTTCGGGGGTTTTATCATGTAATTAGCGCTGCACATTGTGTCAGGACTCGGTTAAATGTTCAAAGTATTTGTTCGTGTGACAAATCCAATAGCATTTGTTCCTGTTACTATTTTATTGCAATTATTTATATTTGTATTTTTTGCAATACGACACAATTTTTAAGTCTACTTTAACTATGCAAAAGTTGAATACTTAAATAAATGTCACAATCACTTCACGTGTACCTTAAAGAAATAATATTGGGATATTTTAAATTTATTTGCCTTTGCAAATAAATAATTTATTTTATATGGTCTATATATTATGTCATCACATAATCATTACCTATAAAATGTTTCCAATATTTAAATTTCACATTAAATAAATCATTCTTGATTCAAATTTAATGTGCCATTTTACGGTTCACATTTAAGTTTTAAATTTTTACTTAAATATATTTTACATATATCTTACAACACATCAATTGCCTTACATTAAAACATTTATACAAATGTAGGCAAAATGTCCGAAGTTGTTGGCAAATTAAAAGACAAAGAATTTGACCAACTCGCACTTGATGGACATAATTTTCCAACATGGTCAATGGATCTCAAAGTTAGCCTCTCTTTACGGGATTTTATCATGCCATTCTTCCACCAAAAGAGGGTACTTCGCACTGATGACAAAACTAAATATAGTGCCTTATACATCATAAGGGCTCATATACATCCAGACCTCAAGTCTGAATATTTGATGGAAGAAGATCCACGCACTTTGTGGAATGCTCTCAAACAACGCTATGAACAAAGAAAAGGCAATTGTCTTACACGAAGCTTTGCATGAATGGAACCATCTCCGCTCACAGGATTTTAAGACTGTTGGAGAATACAATCATGCAATTCACAAACTTTGTGCAAAACTCAAATTTTGTGAGAAAGAGCCTCGATGCGGACAAAATAGAGAAGACTTTGTCTACTATGATGCTCTGCAGATAGAATCCTTCACCAACAATACCGTGAGCGAAATTTCCAAGTTTATTCTCGAAGTTAATTAATACTCTACTTCAGGCCGAACGGCATAATGAGATCCTTCTTTGGAACTCAAATAAACGCCCATTGGGTGCTGCCCCATTACCAAGTACACACAACCACTCGTAACACAAACAAACAGGATGGTGCCAACAGAAACCATTCAGAAATTCAAAAACAAAGGTAAAGGTAAAGGACAAGGTAACAATAACAAAGCTTAAAAGAGCAAAAACCGCATGATTTTAACAAGGGTAAGGACATTCCTAAAAAGAATTTTGACAAATCCCAACTTTGTCAAAAATGTGGTTGTTACTGACCACATCACTAAGAAATGTCGCACTTCCGTCACTTGGTTGACTTGTACTTAAAGTCCGTTGGTCGTGATCGCCCAAATCAAGGACGCAAGTACGAAGCTCATTTCAACTTCCGTAATGATGTTACGATGCAAGATGTTGCTCCGCACAACTTCACTAATGACATTAACATGGCGAAGCTAGTTGCTCCAAAAGTGTCCCCAATACACCGAGCAACCACAAGACTCCACCACTGCGGAGGAAGACGACTTAATGGACACGGACAAGATGCTTGTAGAGTTTGCCTCTACTGACATGTTTGGAGATCTCAATTAGACTCCCATGGTCCCTAATTAGTACTATGTACTCATTATGTCCCGACAAAGTGTTGTAAATTATTGCTAAATATAGCAGTCTTGTAAATATTTGTGGCTTGTATGCTATATCCTATATATAGCACATATATGTACCAAGCACAATCGAAAATCAATAAAGTATGTATAATTATATATATATGTCATTCTCAGATTTCTAATTCTCTTTCATATATCAAGATTTCTACGGGACAAATCCAATGGAGGAGGAAATGTGCCTTGTAGATAGTGGTACTACAAATTCTATACTAAGGAACACCAAATATTTCCTAACTCTAACTAAGAGACAAGGAAATGTCATAACAATCGCTGGACGCGATGCGACGATAGTAGGCTCTGGTTGCGCTACTATTACGCTCCCCATGGGTACTCAAATAACAATTGAGGATGCATTATTGTATCCCGATTC